TTCATTTATAAGTGCATTTTATCATAACTTACATACGTTGCATCCTATTTCGGCATACGTTCAAAATTTGCAAGGCCTTTTCCGTTTCTTTGTAATATTCATTCACCATCTGCGAGACATTTATTCTTGAAGTTCTCTATATTTTGCTCTCTGCCTGCATTGACATACAATAGTTATTTAGACACTATATGAGTATTTTATTTTATAGTTAGACTTAATAATAATTTGAATTACTTTATGTGCACGGGTTTAATCTCTCAAAAGGTGTTTCATATAATCTTCGATCATCATCTTCCAACACGATTACCAGACATTTTGAGGTATGTGGACCGCGTATGAAGTAACATAGCGGCAAATAAATACCTCAAGTACCTGGGAGATGCCCAAAAATTAAACCCTTTGATCTCAACTTGTACTCAGAACGACGTAGAAACATGACGATGTGGGCATGTGAGAGACCTCGTTTTTGAAATTCAATAGTGTAAATAAATGTGTAATCAATGAAGTGAATTAGTATGTGATTATATTTATTGAGATAATAGCCCTAAATAGGACTGAACTAATCCCTAAAACGCATAAACACGCTATGTTATTTATCTTCCCAAAATATGAGTAAAGTATATCTTATCTTCCTATTCTACCCTTACCATAACTTAATAGGGTAATCATATTTTAATTTGTAATAACAAAAAAATTAATAAAAAAATATTTCAACTTATACAAAAAAATTGGAAAAAATATAAACAATTCTTAAATATTTTTAAAAAGTACTATAAATAATAAAATTTTTAAAAAATAAAATTAAATACTTTAAAATAAAAAGTAGATAAAACACATTAAAAATATAAAAATATGGAGGCCTTTAATTTCTTGCATCCCATGCCACTGCCTAGTAATGCTACCTTCAATAGGCTTAAAAATATCACCTTGTATAAAAACAACCATTTTTATTTTATAATACCATGGAGATGACATTTTTACTCTTTGAATATGTCAAAATTTTTCAAAAATAGCCATTAAGATGGCATTTCTAACACATGTTGGTATTTTTTTTGGTGGTTTGAGCTGGTGTTGCTGGGAGATTGTTGAGGGGGTAACATAGGCTTGCACATTTTTATATATAATTTTTTTACGCTTTAATTTTTTATTTATTTTTTTAAGTTTTTTATTTATATGTAATATTTTATTTTATTTTAATTTTTATTTTTATTATTTGTATTTAATTCTTTTTTTTTTTACATTTTCCTTATAAATAGAGTTATGTTATTACTTTTTTTAAATATTAATGAAATGTGAATTTTATTAGAAGGGAAAACGTATATTTGAAATATGAATTGTATAAAAAGGGCAAGGGTAAATGCGAACATCATGTTATACCTCCTAATATTTCAGAAATATTTTAGAATCGGTGTGTATTTCGTTGAATAGACTACGTAGGACATCTGGAGGGGCAAATCGACTTTCCCTACTTTGCAATACATGCTGAATTTGGGTTTTTTACTCTTGACGTGACGCTTAAGTCTTTCCTCGTACCACATCTTAGCCTTGCAAATTTCGCACTCCCATGTAGGATCATTGTCGTCTATATGCTGCATTGCATGACGAATTGACAATTGATCGTGTAGCTATTAATCCTATTATTCAATTAGGGTAACTCACTAAGGATGTTTTTACTTGGACTATAATTTTATAGTTTGGTCTGAGCTGATCTAGTCTGGTCTGATCTGTTCTGGCAATGTCTGAGCTCTTTGCATTTTTATAACTATCCAAGTCTGGTCTGGGACAAATTACAATCCAAGTAAAAACATCCTAAAAATAAAATAAAAAAATGTATTAAAATCTGATCAAGAAAAATAACAACAATAAACACAAATCTATTTTGAGTTTATCTAATACGGAGTAGGAAAGTGATAAAATTATTTAAGGCTTAAGACTTAAATCTATTTTGAGTTGCTATTTATGCTTATCTAATACGGATATGCCTATTCACATGCTTGTTTTTAGCCTTTAAATTCTATTTCATGTTTATCTAATAAAGAGTTGTAAACGAATCTGCCTTGATTCAATTTTAATTGACAACAATTATGGGTAAAATTAAAAATGATCAATTCCAATAATTGTACTCAATTGCAATTTATGTAGAAATCAATTTCAATTGAAATGACTCTACTTTATTAGTACTAAAGTAGATTGAACAAATAATTAGGTCTAAAAAAGCTATAAATAACCGTGTACAAAGAAAATAATTAGCTCTAAGAGCTAATTAATAGCCACTCCGTATAAATTATAAATTAAATAACAGTGTACAATACGCATAAGGGCTAAAATAATACTGGTATTTTCAACGTAAAAGTAAGACAACATTTCCAAAGTAATCAGTAAATTATGTAATCTTATAATTATCTGATCAAGCAAAAAATATTCGCTGGCAAAGTTCCTATCCATTTATTGAAAACAAATAAACTAATACCCTTTATGGTAATTCTACATTTCAATAAACCATTTCAACCAACATATTACCAAACACGTTCGTTTCAGCAAATTCAGTCTTTTCAGGCTTTTCAACCATTGCAACCATTACCAAACATGCCCTAATAATTACAATCGATTACTAATTGTTTATGAATCTATTAAAATTGTGATACTTTCATAATTTGTGTTTTAGTGAAATTTTGTAAAAGAGCTCAGTGAAACTATGTTTGAGTAAAATTGTGTTAATCTATGTTAGAGTCAAATTGTATTTTCTCATATAAATGTCATGTAAGGGTGCTTTTAAGTGGCCTGGAATTTACTAATCTGATTTGATATGTTTAAATATAGCATGTTCTAATTTAATCTGAATAGGTCTACTTTGATAGATATTTTACAACCGTCAAAGTCTAGTCTGATTTGATATGGTATGTTCTGTTTTGATCTGGTATGAGACTGAAACTAATCCCATTAAAATATCCTAAATATTCTAAAAGGGTGGATGAATATATCTAGGGAGAAGAAGATTGCAATGAAATAATTATTATAAGAATAAGTGTTATCCTTTGTGAAACAATTATAATGGTCGAAATCTCAATTAAATAAATGTTATTTAGATTTATATATTCATTTCAAATTAAATTTTGATTCTAAATTGAACTAGTTTAGTTTAACTCTTATTTCCATTTATAAGTTTTGATTCTAAACTGAGTCAAATATGAGGTCGGTGTTCGATCTTTCTTTGGCGAGATGCTGAGATACTGAATGAATTTTATGTAACAATGAATCATTTTCAGTCTTTGTGACCAAGCTTCGGTATCCCCATCTTTTTCGTTAAAGTTCACGATCTTTTATTAACTTTCGTATAACACCAATATTGTATATATAAAAGTAAAAAATAATTTTGAGCATTCTGCAATAATTAGGGGACATTTTATCTACTGGTCGGGAATGTCAATAATATAGGACATTAAGTTTCAAAGCATTTATTTGAAAACAACTCAAATTGATTCCATCAACAAAAAGCTCAGTTAACGACTTTCTCTCTTAATAATCAGAAAACACAAAGAACGCTAGCAAATCGAAAACACAAAGGACACAAAAAATTCTCTTCTTACAATCGGGATTTTAAATGCTCATTATTTGAAGATACAAAGGACACAATAAATTTGAATATTCATTATAAACCAATGTTATAAATAAGTGATTTTCCATTAATAAAACTAAAAGCGAAATCATTTTATCTAGTGTGCGGCAGTGGTGAAGTTTTTTTAGATCGAGTGTCCCAAACACGTAGCTTCTACTTTCTCATGTCTTGCAAGTGTCCTTGATGTTTTCAGACTCTTAAGAAAGTCTTAATTGAGCTATTTTGTTGATTCAATTTGAGTTGTTTTTAGATAAATGTTTTAGAACTTAATATGTCTTTATTGACACTTTCGGTTAATAAATTGAATGTCCCCTAACTGAAGCATGAAATTTAAGGTATACAATAATGAGATCTTAAATTTAAAGCTTGGGTCTATTTTAAAAAAGGGATTATTTTATAAATGGGAGTAAAAAAAGTTTTGAAATTCCAAAACAGGCCTACCTTATTTTTATTCCCTAATAAGAGTAACTTGTGTCAAATTTGACATTATCAAGCTTTAAACATGACAGTTTTTGCCAAACTTGGCAGAAATTACTTATATTTAGGAAATAAAAACATGATAGTCCTATTTTGGAATTTCAAATTGATATGTAAGGCAATATTTACATAAAAAAGGTTTTGAGCCTAAAAGCTTCCATATTTCCTAGGTTTGAAGTTGATTTTACTATTACATATGCAATATTGGTGTCATATGAAAGACAATAAAAAAAATAAAGTTTGATATATATTTTATAAAAATTGAATTGCAAATAGAAAAGTTATATGAATTTTAAAGATAGAGATGTTTTTTTGGAGTGGGGTGGCATGAAGTATATTCCCGTACAATTACATAAATTAACCGTATAATGAGAATTCTAATCAGCCACAGATCCGGAGGGCGGCGGTGAGTGACTCCGTGGGGCGGCCGACAGGGACGGGGCGGCGAACCCAGTAATTGAAGCTGGTGGCGGTAAGCACGACTTTGGCGGTGAAGCCTTGTGCGGGTGAGAAAGATGGGGTTCTTTTGCCTCTAGCTTCACAAAGTATATTGTGATTACATGAATTTATATACTTGTATAGGGTATCGAAATTAAATTTGTAATTCAAAAAATTGCAACTCTTTGTGTGAAAACTCTTCCACACAAAGAGGATTTACAAGTACAGGCCAACAGGACCAGATTACATAATTTACATAGAAATGACCCTAATACATATTCTATATAAACGATAGCACACTACGTAGAATTTCCTGCAACAAATTCTAATCTAGCTTAAATCTAACAAATTCTAATCTAAAGTAACGAATTAGTAGTATCATTAATTAATATACGAAATTGGAAAGATAATGAAAAATAATTGTATATAGATAGATTAATGTTGACAGGCCGTGGGTAGATTGTTTAGCGGTCGGGGTATGTATATTGTATTTTGGTGAGTGTTCTTGTCATATTTCCAAAGACACGGCCTTTCTCAACCCCATCTTCTTGATTAGATTAGATCGAAACCGAAAGCAGAGCATCGAAGGAATGCCCTCCCTCTCCATGGCCATTCATCTACGTCTCTTTGATTGATTGGAAATCGGAGGAATTGCCCTCTCCTCTTTCGTTTCTGCCGGATCTTGACAGCGTCCGCCGGGTATTCATTCAGTAATCCATTTCATCATCGGAGTTCATGATTTGTCTGGGATCTTGCCTCAAAGGTATTCATTCATACCACGCTTTTTTGTGTAATTGATTCATACCTGATTTGTGTTCCTCATCCATACAAGATCCCACCTTTTCTTTTTAATATATTGATAGTATAGAGCATTAATTTATGCAAGAATTATGCCCTTTTGTCATTCTAATAAAAAACTACTACATGGCCAACAAATTATACACATCTTTTTAAGTAATTTTTTTTGCCCCAGTTATTTTTTTCTCAAACACATACGTTTCAATAAGAAAAACACTAATTGAATTCTAATATTTCTTCGAACCAGAGCAATTTGAAATTAGGCAATAAGAAGAGTAATATATCTTCCAAATTGAAATCAGCAATTTCCTTCCTACGAGAGCAACAGACCAATGAAACCAGCAGAACTATAGTCCGCACTATAGCATGCACTAGTATTTAAACGATAATTTTTCTAGCACAAGACATACTAGTAATAGGCACTCATGGTTACTGTTTCTAAACAAAATCAGGGTGTTCATCCATATATGCAAAAAAAAACGTCCGTATACACACGTATGCTCCAACTCCATAGTAACACCTGCAAAAACAATTAGCTGAAGTGAATATATTTATTTATTCATTCATTCTTTCAGTTTATCTTCTTCCTTTCCTTTTATTATACTTCTCTTTGCTTCTTATCTAATCTATACACCTCAAGCACATTACATGTATCTGACTATGCATACTTTATAGTTCTCTTTCTTTCTTACATATTCTATACTTTATACTTTTCTTTGATTCTTGTGTATTCTATGATAGGTAACGCAGGAATCCCAGTCGATAGAAGTAGTATATTAATGAAGATTTAAGGTTGGCATACATAAATCTGCCTACCCTCCCCCTCCTCTATTCCTCTATTTATTCTTTTCCAAATGAGGCTTCCCTCTATTTATTACTTTTTATTAAAATATTAAGCCCATAGGTCCAGGTCTCTATCATCACTCCCCCCTTTGACAACCCCACCTTATCCTCAAGGTGGGGAGTACAAAAGCAGCCATGCCATCCCGCTTCATCCTCCTGCATCTCCCTTCCCAGTACCTTACAGTTTGCTGCACAAGGGGCTTCCATACTTGAATCTTCCTCCTCACTTCTTCTAGCAAAAGAATCAACAGATCCTCTACCTTTAGAGCACCACTCCTACTCGAGTGGCTTTGTTCATGGTGGAACTGAGCTTTACCAATCCCCAACTGCTCAATCTTACCGTTGCTAACCGCTCTTGCCTCCGGATATATATAACCCCAGTCCTGGGGTCTGACATGAAGTACCCACCAGGACTGACTAAGAACAAGGGCAGATTCCAATGCAATGGTATTAACGGAAGATTCCCAATGGTATTCATGTGACCCAGAATTGATAGGCTCAAGCAATGTCCTGAGTGGTGCAAAACATGCTGCCGTTTCGACTGTGGATAACAAACTGGCGTAAGGAAACTTTGCAAGATACTCCTTTTCATTTGCCAACTGCTTTTAACCCTTTATATGCATTTCTGAATCACTAAAAGGCTGCCTGCCAACTTCAGAGAAACTTGTTGCAGGTTGCAGTCTTATTGCTAGCTGATTAATAGGTGAAAATCCATGCACATGGCTTATAACTTTTCGTCCTGCTTCCTCTACAAAGGCTCTTCTCCACTTAACAACCAAGTCCCTGACGTAGTCCCATCATCTAACTGCGTTAAGAGCAATAACTAGGCAACATAACATACAAACACCATCAGCTTTAGTCAAACAGTTGAAAGAACCTTCTAGTAAGGCAGGCATAGAAACTGGATTTCCAGTATAAGCCATCCACCTAAAACCAACAGCAAGAGGTCCAATGCCCAGGTTCCTAGATCCCGAACAGCGGCCCATAGCAACAAGGTTTGTGAAAAATTTACCATCCCCTTCTAAAATCTTCTTCATAACCATAGTGTATCTGAGCCTATCTGAGCCGCTGGTAGGACAGTAACCACTCTAAAGCTGCACCTCACAGGATGATGTACATAAGAGTGAAATCTCAAGTAATAAAACCGAACAGCAGTCAAAACACAATTGCCATTGAATACATCACTGCTATGGTAAAGACTGCCACTAAGACAAGATCCATCCGCACACTATATATACCATGGCTGTTTATTTGCAAATTCATCCCTATCTTTCTTTGACAAAGTTGGATTGGGTATGGTTTGCATGAATGAAACAGAAGAACTATCATACTTAGAAACTGATTTGTGAACATCATAAGGTTCTTCAATATTGCAAACCTGGAAATTATACCAACAGCCTAAAAGTAAAACTTGGTAGTTTCTACCTGAAGTTTGCTCATATAGCCCTTGCCTGAACCACCACCATGGGTTGTACGAGGTGCTAGAGTCCGTGAGAGTTGTTCTAGTAATTTTTATCTGTTTGTCATTTGTTTTCTTGTGTTCATCATTGTTGTTGGTCTTGACAATTTGTTTGAGTTTTTAGCATCTCTTTATGTCATTGGGTATGGTTGGATCTATGGGAACAAGTTTGGCTGTGTCAAGTCCACTACATGGTTAGCGATTCGTGTTGCTCTTTCAGGGGTGGCCGTCTCAAAGTCTCACCATAGGATTACAGTCGTAGTTGTTGGAGTTTCAGTTGGTGTCAGTTTTTTTCCCCTTTGCTTGATGTAATGATCCTGAATCTTTTAATATGAATAGAGGCATGTTTTGATGATTAAAAAAAAAGTCACATATACACTTGACTTGGGCCTTAGACTTCCTGCATTGGACGTTTTTTTCACACCTAAATGTCCGGTCAGTCCACTTCCAATTAAGTAAATTAGAAACCCTTTTAATTACTCTGTATTTGACATTTTGCATTTTTCACTTGGACTAGAAAGTAATGGGATGCTCTAAGGAATACTGCGGAATAATACTTCAACTATTAATAAACCTTGGAGACCTAACCTGCGATACGTAGAGAGACAGAGCGTGCGTTGCGTGTGAGAGTTGGAGTGGTCGGCGATTACAGAGGCGGAGGAGGGGTTTCGACGGTTGCAGAACAAGCGAATATCAGAGGCACTAGTACTAGAGGATTAGGGTAAGTTTTTCCATTTATTGAAATTATTATTTCAATTCATCGCTCACTCTCTATTGCGTACATTTAGGCTACGCCTGAAGTCGTACGCCTCAGGCGAAAAATCGCAGATTTTCATATGTTCATTTTTTTCTGAAAACACTTCAGATTGATTGAGGATGTCGGACAAACAATGGGTAGCTAGGAAGAGCATATTTGTCAGGCCGAAAATTACAGTTTAAAAGTTTTGTTCTGAATCTAAAATAGTAATCGCTCATGTATTCATCTAATTCGGCGTACTACTATTAATAAATTCTAAATTTCAAACTAGAATAAGCACAATAGCCAAGCACGTATCCCTTGTGTGCAATGTTCCTCCCCATCCTGGGAGCTCTTCTTAATCTGGTGGGTCTAACAAATTAGTCAGTTTGGGTCAGATGTTTTATATGGATTCAGTACTCTTGCACTTTTTCAGAAACTGAAACCAAGCCCCAGGTACAATTTGCCTAATTATACGGAGTATGTACTTGAGTGTTAAGTGAGTTATAGTCACGATTACAATTTACAGTCACTTTTACGAGTCAAGATTATGTAGTCACTTTAAGTATAAATATTACGATTGTGTTTAAAACTTATATGAAGCGTAATACTCACTACTCAGTACTCACTACAGTGAGAAGAATGTGTGTGGTTCAGCGTGTAGTTAGTCCTTGTATGTCTCTTAAAACTTGTATGTAGAAGATGCAACAAAGCAGTACGTATAGTCACTACTGACCAGTATGCCTTTGTTTCAGGTAAGTGAATTGTAGTCATGTATCAGGATTTGTGTGTGTGTTGTTAGTAACTAATACGGAGTAGTTGGTTGTAGAAACTAGGGCTGGCATTTTAAACCGAAAAGACAAAAAAGCCGGAATCGAACAATTAAAAAACCGAGTCGACTTGAATGGGACCCGAAAGTTGGGACCCGAACATGAATCGGTTTAAAGACGGTTTTTTGAGTTTTAAAACCGGTTCAAACCGAACCGAAATTCTATTAAGGCATATTTAAATATTTATTCCGCAGCAAAAGTAGTAATAAAGAATATACAGCTCCTACTTTAAAAAACTAGTTCATGCAGTCCAGTGGTTTAGTGTAGACATCCTCAATTCTTAACACAGGTTCAATTTTCCCCTCCTACCGTTTCTTTTCATTTATTTTCTAAACCTTTGGAACATTTGCCACACCGATTGAAACTGATTGTTTAGTCCTCATGCGTCTCTATATATACGCCCCTTCCATAGAGAGTTGACTTAGGATAAATGCATGATATGATATATTGTTGGTAATATTCGAAAGGATAAATTTTAAACGCAAATAAATGTAAAATACTTTGCAAACTTGTTCAGTTGGCCTATTCTTCTTGCTTGAAGTGCAAAATCAGTAGTAACATCACTACAAACAAATCATTGAACACCAAAACCTAAAACAGTAAATTACTAATTTAAGAATTGAATTCATGAATTGACCTCATTAATATTAATTTAGGAATTTTAAAGGCGGCTAGGCAGGGATTGCTTTTACTGCTGGAGTGCCCCGTGTCCGCCACTTTATAGCTATACTGCTTTAGGCCCTTATCTTTAATCTTTACATTTTACATCAATTACAGACTACGGTTTAGACTTTAGACTTTAGAAAAGTGACTCATAGATCGGCAAAGAGGCGTTCGGAGTTCGGATGATGGGCGACTCACGGACTCAGTGCGACAGCGCCGGTTCGTTGCTACTTCAGGCTACTTCAAGTTTGGATTGCGATTGCGATTTACGGCCTTAGCGAATGATGACTTTCGGATTTTGGAAACGCATCACCTAGCAGGTCATGTGGAGTGTACCTAATTAGTCAATTTTATTTTACATATATCACTAAAACTAACAGGTCTTTTTATTTTGGGGCCCTCTTGCCATGTGAGGCCCAAGGCTGTTGCCTTGGCTAACTGCCCCCAAATTCGCCACTGCGTTCAAAGCTTGCATCAAAGTTGTGCCTCAGTCTAATTTTTCAAAATTCATTCGGTTTGTCCTCAAAACCCAAAACCGACTCAAAATTTCGGTTTCTGAAAATTCGGGTTTTAGTAATATTCGGTTCAGTTGAGGTTCATGGAATTTGAGAAACTGAAGAATCGGTTTGGAATTTTCCCATTTTGGTTTGAGAACCGAACCGAATCTACCCCTAGTAGAAACCATGTGTTGTGTGAGTACAATCAGTTCATAAAATTCTAGTCAAACATTTTTAGGGCCTGCTACAGTACCTTATTTATGGAAAGTTCCTTTACTTCTTATCCCGTTGTTCTCGAAGCGCACTAATACTACTAGGTTTACATTGGGGAGCAGTGATTAATTACCTGAGATATATTATGAAGGAGAAAACATCGGAAATAGGTGATAGTTTATCAAGATCAGAAGAAGTTTTGCAGAATTTGGCTCTACTTTGAAAACTCCGGTAGAGAGATTTTTGGGGGAGACAATTTACTATGTATTTAAGAAGGATAAATTGGGAACACAATAAAATCTTATTTTCCTTTTTAAATAACGGTAGAGAACTAGTAATATTTTTGTCCAGCATTTCTGCAATAGTAATATTAAAGGAATTTTTTCTTTGTGTAAACAAATGCTATTTAAAACTTAAGGCAAGTTGATTCTTGTACTTGTATGTTTTTTATTTAGAGTTATTAAATAATTCAAAGTAGCTTGATATTAGAAGGTTGAGAAGTGTTTTCAAAGAATTCATGTGAGTTTCTCAGTTAATCAAAACCGTAATTTTAAAAAATTGGAAGATGTATAGGACTACGTATATATGTTAAAATTAAAGTCATATTTGAATTATTGGCCTTGTTATTTATTTTCTCATGATCTTCTTTATGTAGGTTATACTTTTAGTTTTTTTATAAACGAGACAGCCTAGGCTGAAAAACACTGATAGATAAAGGGAAATAATGGCCATAGCCAAAACCCTTTGAATTTAATATCGGTTGGGAAATAAATCCTTTTTACCTACCCATTGCTTTCGTGTTTTGCAGGGAGTTATATTGGAGGCTATTGGAAGAGATCAGAGAAGTCGAATAAAGTAAAATATAATGATGATGATTAGCAGCAACAGAATTAGCAACAAGGATGATGAAGCTCATGATGAGAAACAGAGGGAGTGGTCGAATCTGTGCGAGGACCTGTTGTCTTCCATACTCTCACATTTAGCCATCGGAGACTATCTTACTTTCAAGTCGGTATGTAAATCATGGAAAGCAGCAACTCTGCCTCCTCTTCTATCGTCAATGCCATTACTTCATTATTGCCCACATGATAAGGATTCATATAATGACCCCTATCTCATGTACTTCAACGAGAAAACCGGCTTCTTCAACTTCCACGATCCAACACGTAATTCCACTTATTCACTTAGCATTCCTCCCTTGTTGGATGATGAAAGTGGTGAAGTTGAACTTTTTCACGCTAGTTGTGGCTGGTTGCTTCTTGGTAAAGGTAGGCAGTCATATTTTTTCTATAACCCGTCAACTGAGGTTAAAATAGACCTCCCTGACTCGTGCGAATCGTTTGAGTGGGTATGTTTTTCTGGATCACCAACATCTGCCGGGTGTAAAGTATTTGGCATTTATAGTGGTATTACATCTAAGCTTTTAATTGGAACGTTACAAGTGGGTGAGACAATGGTCAATGTATGTCCTTGAGAATGAAGGTGACGATTTTTTTGCTTCCAATTGCCCCCCTGTTGTGTGCAATGGATTCATTTATGTTCTAGGGGAATCTGGAAATCTAGGAAAGTTTTGGCTTAAGCCCAAGGGGGAAGACTGTAACTGGAAGATCATTGGCAAGCATAATCAAAAGCAGTTTTTAAAATTTCAAGATCGGTTTCTCTTGGAGAATGACGGCAATCTAATGTGTTGCAACTCTGGAGGGCGGTGAAGTTCGGGTGTTGAGATTCCATGATTATAATAAGATTTGGCGGAAGATAGAGAATCTAAATGGGAAATCATTTTATGTGTCTCATAGGACATCCATATCGCGGAAAACAACCGTTAGCGGGACAGGAAACAAGATCTTCTTTCCGAGGTTTTACGACGGTAAAGGGTTGTTTTATTGCCTTGCATCGAAGAAGTGGCACAACTTTCCCAAGAGTTTTTCAAGTGAGAATTATTACAACACAAGAGGAATAGTTCACTGCGTTTGAACTGAACTTCCTCATCTTTCTGGGTATGTTGCATAATCTGCATTTAGTTTCATTCATTGAATTCATTGAATTGTCTTGTTCTTTTTATGTCGTTTTCTTTTAATTCAAAAACTAGTATAGTACACAAGAGGATGTACAATTTTTCATATAATTATTTTAGGGAAATCACATTTTCAATCTTTCAAAAATCCTTTTCCCAATTTTAAAATAAGGGGACTATATTTTCAATATAGGTATTTTGGGAAAAGGGGAAAATAGGCTCTTTTACTATATTTCAAAATTCATTCGCTGAGCCCTTGTATTACAAAAAGTATCACTCGAGCCAATTTGCCATGCTATAGCTGGTAATGTTTGAGATATAAACTTACGAAATTTCGTAAATTTTATAAAAATTCATATAAACTTGAAAAAATGATGTAATAGTAATATTTAAATTTGTAAAAATGAAAGAAAAAAGTATTAAATAAATAATCTTAAAACTTTTAAAAATATGTAAAATTATTAACAAGAAATAATTACATGAATATGACCAAAATAAAGGTGATTTGCAAATATATGACTAGTGACTAGAGTAGTAATGAAATCGTAGTAATTCATGTTCAAGCTTTGAGCTTAAGTTACCACAACACCACATTGTAGTAATAAATAGTCATATTTTTGTAAATATGTTTTTTGTACTATTTGAAGTAGCTAAAGGCAATCTTCTAAAAAGCTGATCTGCATGTTCGGGTTTCTCCACCTTATGTTTCCTGCCTTGCTCCATTTGTTAATCGTGTGAATGTAGATGGAAGATTCCCTGAGTCGACTGCTTTGATACCAATGATAGGTAACGGAGGAATCCCAGTCAATAGAAGTAGTATATTAATGAAGATTTAAGGTTGGAATACAGCAAAATAACGTAAGAAAAGGTTGAGACTCTCCGAGCGGCCTCACGCTCCCAATTTCCCAATCCCTATCCCAAAATCTGCCTACCCTCCCCCTCCTCTATTCCTCTATTTATTCTTTTCCAACTGAGGCTTCCCTCAATCTATCTAATTGCTTGGCACAGCCCACTATTACATTTTATTAAAATATTAAGCTCATAGGTCCAGGACTCTATCATTCAATACTTTATAGGTCTCTTTAATATATATATATATCTTCTTATTATCATTTCATACTTTCATTGTATAAAACACAGACCCTACCTGGTGTTTTGTTTTTGTGAAGCATGGCTTTATTTTTGCAGATTGTGACTTTGTTATTGAGAAAGATGACTTTGTAATGCATTTAGTTCAATATGATGTTCAATATGTCATATTTGATAACTCGTTGAACATACCTGGGTTGTTATCCTTGAACTTTAATGGATAGGTTATCCTTGTTCCTAATATAATGGAGAAAATATAATAATTAATTACAAAAGGAATTTCCAGAAATTATTTGAAATTTCAGTTTCATTTTCTAATATGCTGTTCAGGAGACAAAGTATACCTGTTGTGCTGCGCGATTCTGATTATTCAGTCTCGCAGCAGTAGCGATTCTCTGTGCCTCTTTGGCCTGGAGAATATAATTGAGTGGACTGATTAATACGAAGTACTAGTATATAACTTTACAGATGGCGGCAGATTAATCGAGTGGACTGATTAATATCTAACTTTTCATTCACAGATGGGGCGGCAGATTACTCGAGTGGACACTGATTAATATCTAACTTTACATTCACAGATGGGGCGGCAGATTAATCGAGTGGACTGATTAATATCTAACTTTACATTCACAGATGGGGCGGCAGATTACTCGAGTGAACAAAGAGGAGATACCTTGCAATCTAAGACATGCCATGTCCATTCATCGACGCCATAAATGGTCCGGCCGCAGAGCTTACAGAGGCAGCCTACTTTGTTGGTTGATGTGCTCTTCTTCTTCTTACGCCCGCTCTGCAATTTCTTTGATTTCCGCGCCATATTTGTTGATTTGCTCTCCTGTGATTTGCTCTCCAGAAATATGTATCAAAAAAACTTATAAATACCCTTTTGGGTATGAAAATTTGTTGGTGTAATTCTGTAGCACTATTAAGGTGGTAAATCATGCTTAAGCTGTTGTACCATTTCATCTTTCGTGGTCTTGTCCTTGTGCTTTCGTCAATTAAAATGCAATATCTTATTGTTTTACAAAGTCAACATTTTTTGGTCAAACAATAATAAAAATCAATCCTCTATATTATCAATTAATTCAATTTCTAATAATTAAAATTTACACGTTCAGAAACCACATTAAAATCTTTTAAAAGTTGCAAACTCCGAACTATAATTTGATTAAAAATTGGCATCCTAATTAAGAGAATAAAATTAAACTGTTTGACTAAACAAGGTCAAATTTGCAAATCAATTTGGGACGGAGTTAGTAGTGTTGGACCCGGGTCGGGCCCCCGGCCCGGGAAACGGTTTTGGTTCCGGGCATAGGCCCGGTCCTAGGGGTTAGGGTGGGGCGGTCCCGGTTCACACCATTCTTTGGAATCGACGTGGTTCGGGCTTTATTTATTTTTTTGTTTTTTCATTGTTTTGGGCTTTTTCCTGAGTTGGGTTGGGTGTTTTGGGGGGGGGGGTTGGGGGTGAGGGGTCAGGGGTTAATAAGAAAAGAAAAGAAAAACGGGCCTAGGCCCGACCCGCCCGGACCCGGTGGTAACCCGGGCCGGTCCCGAGCCTTCTACCAAAAATCAAAAGCCCGGTCGGGCTTAGGCCTGACCCGGACCTGAGTCCATGACTAGGAGTTAGTATTAAAAATTGTAGGTTCAAAATACTTAAGGAGGGGGTCTATCACTCTATCTCTTAGGTGTTCATCATTCTTTGTACGATACCACCACTCCAAAATCAAGCTAAGAAGGAGATCCAGTATTCATATGAAATGACCCTTAAATTATGTGTCTCAGTTTCCTTCCCAATTTCTCCATCGAACTTTACACTGACTTGTTGCATGTATACATATGATGAAATGACCCTTAAATTATGTTACCTTAAGGGTACCATATTTAGGCTATCATTTTTTATTATACATTAATTTGGAATTTGCGACTTGGTGGATCTTTCAATATAGTTAGTCTTAATCAGTAAAACAGGTTTAATTGTCTGTCGAAAAGATTTAACTTTATCGTCAGCCAACAATAAAAGCACCAAATTGCAAATCTTGGGACGGAGGAATTATAAACTATCAAATAAACATTCTTGGGAAAAGAGTTAGATAGGGCCTCGAACTTACATAAAAAGGTCATATAAGGCTTTATATAGGATGCTCTGTCCGGCCGACGATATTTGGGGCGGTTTTCATTGAAATTTTTTGATGAAATTTTTTGAGCATCTTATTCATTAAGTCTAGTTTATTCATACCAAACTTGAACTAAAAACGTTCTTATATGCTAGAACAAGTCGGCTATGGATGTTTTTACTTGGACTGTAATTTGCTGGTCTGGTCTGGTCTGGTCTGATCTGGTCTGGTCTGGTCTGGTCTGGTTTCTTTGTATTTTTATAACTATCCAAGTCTGGTCTGGTCTGGTCTGGACTGGTCTGGTCTGGTCTGGTCTGGTCTGGTCTGGGGCAACTTACAGTCCAAGTAAAAACATCCTAAAATGCAAAGAATCAAAATTAATACACCGGCTGTAGTACTTATTACTAATGTGAGTAGAAAGATGACGTGGCTTGATAGTAGAATGTGATTGGTTAAAAACCTCTTGGTACCGGTACCATGTTTATTTTAGAAGGTACAGTAGAAATACCCAAAGATTAATTAACCCTCTCAGTGAGAATGAAATCAGTAAATTAATTATCTCCTTTCCAAGCATTTGTTCCACTGCCCAATTTCGAATATGTTTGCCACACTACTAATATATACTACGTGTGTGTATATATATATATATATATAGAGAGAGAGAGAGAGAGAGGACTTTTCATGTCCAGCCGGCCTGACGGGAACCGCCGTCCAGCCGAGGGCATTTCGGGCACTTCCCGATGTAATTTTTTGATGAATTGTTTTAGCATGTTCTTCATTAAGTCTAGTTTATCCATACCAAATTTCAGCTAAAAATTCAATCGGGAAGACACTCAAATAATTTCTTGAAGTTAACTGGGCAGTTTATATGTATGAACTGTCCAGTTAACTTTAAGAAATTATTTGAATGCCTTCCCGATTGAATTGTTAGCTGAAATTTGGTATGGATAAACTAGACTTCATGAAGAACATGCTGAAAAAATTTCATCAAAAATTTCACCGGGAAGTACCCGAAATGCCCTCGGCCAGACGGAGCATCTCGTCATGCGGCCGGACGAAGGAGAACAATTTCATTTCATTTTCATTTTCATTTACCCCAGTGCCGCAAAGGCTCCCACCTACGGTGCGTTAAGGGGGGGTCGGATGTACGCAATCTTACCCCTATACTAAAACACGGAGAGACTGTTTCCGAATGACTCATAGAGAAAATCGCGTCCAGAATTGCATGGATTGACTGCTGCTTCATAACAAAGAGGAGCAGACAGTTTAGTGAGCCATTTTGTTTTGTTCTATCATATTCTCAAGCCAAAAAAATAATGAATCTTTGGCTCCATTGCAAATGATGGAAAACAATGAGAACAATTGTGAGCAGAAAAAAGAGAATGCTGCCAGAGAACGGGTCAAACATGTTCATTCTAATACGGTAATACCATGTGAAATAAAGAGGTATTACATATTTTTGTCTCAAAATTGTACGAAGAGAATGTAGATTACTAGATATACATGTTCATTATCATACATGGCACAAAATTGGCAACTATTGAAACCTTATGGTTAAGGTTGAAAGGCACTCCAAACAAACTATTTGTCTCAAGTGAGAATGTTTTCCCAACTACATAAACACCACCTTGTTACCACAACAACAGGAATGCCACAAGAAACATCTATAACGTTCCCATGAACCATAGAGGTTAATGTTTTTCCTCACTGTAGTTTCTCCTTTATGTTCTCATTTTCTTTACCCAACCCAAAACTCCTCGCTGCAACAAATTTTAAATTTTGCTTTACCACATCCATTCCCAGAGTTTGCTTCACACATCTTACTCTTCATAGGTACTCTTCTGTAATACATTTTCAGTTAGCAAACTCCAGGTACCAGCCTTTATGAAATGCAACAAAGTGAAATTTAATTACAATCTAATGAATTCAAAACATACCATACGGGCTCGCAGGGTTCGTATTCTGACAATTGGTTCAATAAGCTCCCACTATACATGACTCCACACAGATTCTCTTTGCCTGATCTCATTCTTTAGAGCCTGTCTTATAAAAAAGAAGAGGAGCAAACGGCACAGATTAATGTCCTTTCAAAGTGGCAAAGATACGCAAGAGTAAAAGGAGATCCAAATTCCAAACTGTAGCAAATGAGAAAGTACCCACCGAGTACATTTTCTCCGTGACTGATTTTCTCAGCGATGTTTTATCTCCATTCGCTATATAAGTGTTTATCTGAATGGGAAAAGGAAAGATCAATATATTAGCATGAAAAGCACAGAATTATATAAAGTCAAAAATGAATCCAGCGAATAATTATTAATTACTTCCTCAGCCCCAAAATGATTTGCAAAGTCAACTTTTCTTAGTTGGCACGGTTTCACTTTACTTACTTATTTAGCATATCATTTTATTTTCATATTCTAATTTGGATTTTGTAAATTTATAGAACTGTCAATGTAGTTTTTGAATATGTAAATTTATTTGTTAGCACTAACTTAACTTTATCGTCAGTCAACCTTAAGAACCGCAAATTGCAATTCAATTCCCGACGGAGGAAGTATATTTTAGGAGAGAATGTCTATTTAGAGATGACATTAATCAACAAAAGCTCACCTCTTTGTACAAATCAAGTGCTTCATCATAGAATTTCTGTTTTGAATACCCAGTTTTGCGCAGTTTAGCAATTGCATATGCACTTTTGAGCTGAGAGTAAATATTCAAAATGAGACAGAAAATGGTTGAAATGTACTAAGAGCACCATATACAAAAGCATGTAAATGTGCTAACAAACATATAACAATATATGACTGACCAAGTTCCGAATTTTGGAATAACTACCAGAGATGAAGTGCAACATATACCCATCTCCTAAGGTATGCATGTCATATCACAACCTTTTGAAAAAAGAGGTAGAGAGAAACCGGAAATGGCCAACGTTATAGTTAAATAAAGTATCACCACAGACCACAGCACATAAAAATTTTACCTCAGAAGTAAGTTCTTCTTTTATTCTTCTCCATCCAGTTCTTGTAAACCATCTGTAACCAGCATTTAAGAAAGTGATGATGATACAAACCTACCATGCATACTGTCAAAACAAGAATATTGGTAATCTCAAACTATTACCAAATTGAACAGCAACATTAATGTTCCATTACACTCATAGGGCCAAAGCAAATAAGTGACAATGTAATGATTGCAAAAAGTTGTTGAAAAAGAACCTCTCTTGATCTCTTCTAAAAATTATAGCTCACCTTTTCCAAAATCGAGTGGACTGATTAATATATAACTTTACCTTCACAGATGGGGCGGCAGATTAATCGAGTGAACAAAGAGGAGATACCTTACCATCTAAGACATGCCATGTCCATTCACCAACACCAACACTGGTCCGGCCACAGATCGTACAGAGGCAGCCTACTTTGTTGGATGATGTGCTCTTCTTCTTACGCCCGTTCTCCAAATTTTTTGATTTGGTGGTCAAAGTTAAAAACGAAATGTTCTAATTTGACAAATATTACGGAGTACAATACAAGCACTACTAGCTATTTGGGCGATGCACGGGACAATACGTAATTTAGTTAATTTAAAATTTGATTTCTTTTGAATCATATGTAATGTGATTTAAAAGAAAAATAAACTTAATCTAATATAGAGCATGTCTGATAATACTAAAATAAATCGAATTAACTTATTTTACTGAAATGGAGTAAATTCTGGCTGAATGGGTGCAATCTCCTTAATCATGAAAAAAATATGTAAAATATATTCTATTTGTGAAGCCAAGAAAAGATTATATGAAAAATAGTTAAATTGATCTTCTACATAAGCATCTCAAGTAAATATAATTAGGGCTGGGTCCGTAAAACCGAAAACCGAATCAAATTAAACCGAACCGCGACCAAATAAAACCGAATCGCTAAAAACCGAAATCGAATGTAAAAAACCGAACCGAACCGTAGTAGTTTGGTTCGGTTTTGATTTTTACCCTTCAAAACCGAACCGAACCGAACAAACCAAACAAAAATAAAATATGAAATTTTATTTGTTAAATGTAAGCATTAATCTTAATATCATCAATAATCTTTGAATTTCTTGTGCTACAGAAATAATGTTTGTGCTATGTTTACTTTAGTTTAGTTTATAAATGCATTTACACATTCATTGCCCATAATAATGTAGCTATATTGATCTATTATGTCTTTTATGTATGTATGTTGCAATTTGTTGCATGATTATATGTTTTTACTGGTTATTAGTAGTACTTAACTTTTATTTTTATGTAACTTAATTTTTTTGTAACTTAAATTTTTATATTGATAAAACAAATCAATATTCATCTCAGCTATATATCACATAGGACGTATGTATTCATAAACTTTTTTCAAACTAGTTACAAACAATGTAAATTAAGAATAGATACACACTTTTATCTCTCCCGCATACTCATATAATTCAAGGCATATTTGTTTATTATTATATTCTTTATTTGTTCAAGTATGCTTGCATTTTTATGTAATATGTTTGATCCCTCCAACTTTTATATCAATTTTAAATCAAATGACAAACTTTTAGTAATTAAAAAAACCGAAAAAAACCGAAACCGAACCAATCAAACCGTGGTTCCAAGTTTTGGAGTGTAAAACCGAACCGAAACCGAACCGAACTTTTACTTTGGTTCCGTATTTGGTTTTAGGTCAAAACCGAACTCACCCCTAAATATAATTGTTTTTTTTAATATAAGAGAGCGGCTTTTATATTAATATCAAGAAAATATACAAAACCGTGTCCAGACAGTTCTGCCAGAGCCAATCGTTAGCCCTAGGAATAGACATAGAATCACCCACCTCATACAAAGCAACCTGATTCGCTAGACACAAAACGGGCAAATTTAAGCCTAAAACAATCGGGACTGAAATGTTGCCTATCTAATGTACTTCAGAAGTCCAAATATCTAAACCAAACATACTCGAAGTAAAATAAAAATAAGTACTGTTTAAGCTAAACTACATAAATTATGATTGTGACATTGGGAAACGACAAATCAAATGGTCTCCATGCAAAGATCAAAGAATAAATGACGGATCAAGAACCGAGTAGCTAAAGTATAATGCATTGAAGAATTTTTTAGAGGTATTTCAAAGTTGTATACAAGAGTAATCGTCCCCCCACATATTTGCATTCGTTGTGTTTAAATAAGCAAAACATGACGACTTGTTTGGCCGTTACGTCGAATTCAATGCAACCTGTCAGCTGTAAAGTCTAGAAACGTTACAACACGTGGCACTTATTCATTCTATCCGTTGGCAGCCCGTTACAAACCTTCTCATTAATGCTCATAATGTGACAACCTGGTAATTCCGACGTCTTGAAGGCTTCATCATAAAGATTGGCCAATTCTCTATTAACTTCTTGTAACTACCAACATATACTTTCATTTAATGCCTTCCGTTACAAACATTCACTCCTTGGGATTGTCCAACTTTAAATTCTCATTCCAAAACGTCAGTTTCATCAGCTCCGACTAGTCAACCTAGAAATCAGGTTCAGCCCGTAACTATTCTCACTTTGCACGCTATTTGACTGATTCTTCCACTTCTTTGCATCCCTCCATTATTGATACATGGAACTAACACTCTCAAATATTATATTACATAATAATAAATGAATTAACGTTACTTATTAATTTTGGTCATTACAATTGCCCCCTTTCGAGAAGTTGACATGATGCACATGTCAGGCCCCGTTAAGCAGCAACTTGTCGAAATATCTTCAATTCGTTATATCCTTACCCAGTTGACGAAACGTGTCGGTCCATTTGTCACTCTTTAGACGATATGTACATATCAACTTGTCATTTGTCTGACGGACTGCGCACATTGACCCGTCGTCTGTCTGTCGGATGCTTATATCAACCTGTCATTTGTCTGACGAAGTCTTTTTGTCGCCTTGTTTCTAATTGCACCTGTCATTGTGACTAAGGAAATATTATTGTATCAAATGTTGTAAATTGTGATTTTGTAGATGTGGATATATCGACGCTTCGGTTTGGCAGCGGTCACTTTGTCCATGCCTGCAAAAAGATTAAACTTAGTTCCATTTGTATTGTCAACGTAAACATGAATGTTTATGGTTCGTTTTGATGTCGTTCGTATCGATGTCATTGATGTCGTCTCCTTCTGTATTGGAGTATCTCGGTGTTTGTGTTATGCTTTTGTGAGACATCTTTTTGTAGTGTTTCTGTTGTATAGTTTTGGCCAAAACGTTTGTAGAGAATCTGTGGTGTTTGCACTCATCTTTATAAGAGGTGAAAACCCACTTCTTCCTTCGTAAGCCCCGTCATTTTTTTTTGACATTTCCGTAAGGCCTACGCAAGCCCCGTCATTTGTGTTTTGGCGTTTCTGTAAGGCTTTATTTAACGTGTGTCAGGATATTGTCCCCGTTTGTCATCGACTATTCCGCGTAATGACATGTCAAAAACAGTTCGTCATTTTGAACTTTCAGGCGACATGTCTTGAATCATCTCGTCAATTCTGTCATGGTTCGACACCTCGTTCCATGGGCCTTGAGTATGGTTTCTCAGCCTTGTGATCATGTCTCTTGGGAGAATCTACTTTCCTGTGGCCTTCAGCATACTCGATTTGTCTACGTCGGGATCGTAAGTCTTCTTCTAGTCGGATAAAAGTTAGTGTCTTTGCTTGGACGTCTTCAAAGGATCGACAAGGGTATTTAGTCAACTCTCGATATAGCTCGGAATCCTTGAACAAGCCTCTCCTAAATGCCTCAATAGTTCACGGGATGTCACATCTTTAAATTGATACCTTTCTTTTGTTGAATCTATGCCAATAGTCTCTAAGAGGTTCATCTCGTCGCTGTGTGACTCTATAAAGGTCGCTGGTTTGTCTCTCCAACACCCTACTACTCGCAAACTGTTGATTAAAAAGATTCACGAGTTGGGCAAATGATTTGATGCCCCCATTTGGAAGATTCACAAACCATGATAGAGCCGCACCTGCCAATGTCATGCCGAATCCTCGACACATACATGCTTCTCTTTGTTCTGGTCTGACGGAGATGATCAACATCTTTTGTTTGTAAAGTGCGACATGTTCCCCAGGATCTGACGTCCCGTCAAACGGTTCCATGCACGGTACGTCAAAATGCTTTGGCATTTCGACATTGGTGATTGAAGCGTCGAAAGGGGACTCGTCATAACACATTTGTGACGCCATGTCAAACGGGGGAGGGACTCCTGGTATTCTGTTGATTTTTTCTTGCATCTGCTGCAGTTGGGCCAAAATGAAGGACATGGGATCCGTCATGTTCATTTGTGGTGGACATGTTGTTGCAATCATTGGTCCTGCCATTTGAGTATATATTGGTCGGGTTGGAGAGGGAATAACAATAACTTCATGATTTTGTTGATTCTGGGTGAAGGATCGGGGGATAAAAGGTTCTGATAACGACGAGGTGGAATTGGTGGTAGTAAGACTATGGGTGACGGTTTGTAGGTGTGAAGAGTGCGTTCCGAAGCTTCGGGAAACCGGAAAGTAGCATGTCGGAATGGTCGGGACAGGGGTGGTAATTGGAAACAAAGGAGTGTAGGGTATCACCTTTTCCAAAATCGAGTGGACTGATTAATATATAACTTTACCTTCACAGATGGGGCGGCAGATTAATCGAGTGAACAAAGAGGAGATACCTTACCAAGTTACCATCTAAGACATGCCATGTCCATTCACCAACACCAACACTGGTCCGGCCACAGATCGTACAGAGGCAGCCTACTTTGTTGGATGATGTGCTCTTCTTCTTACGCCCGTTCTCCAAATTTTTTTATTTGGTGACCAAAGTTAAAAACGAAATGTTCTAATTTCACAAATATTACTTCGTGTAGGCATGAACTTGGGCTGTCAATTCATCTAAGCGCTCCAACATGATCTCAAATCTCCTCTGACACATCATCTTCTCTTTTTCTTTTTCCTGAATTCTTGCATATGGCCTATCAAAGTACATGGACGTAGTAATGAAGTGGCCGAGCCCCTGAACTCTACTTCCATTGGGCTTTTTGTCTAGAGCAACCGTCATTATATCATTTGATCCTGTAGGAAGAAATTCCCCTTCCTCTTGTAGAGTCTTCAGCTCCTTCTACAATTTTCATGAATCAGATTTATTAAAAATGACATATGAGCATTCTGCAAATCTGCTGAGGGACTAAAGAATTAGGTCTGCGATGGAGTTTACAGATTTCATTTTAGTTCAATTGTTATAGGCAAACCAAAGTGTATATAAGCATCCTTTTACTATTAACATTTTAAGAGTATACTTCGAGACAAATTAGCAATTGGATACAGATCTTCACAGTTAAATACAACATATGATAAAAGATCATTTTCTGAATATGACCCTAATAAAAGTCTAAAACCTTACATTATTATTATTCTCTCAAACTGTTTGATCTTTGAGAGTTTGGACTAATCTGTTAGATTCATAAAGGGAATGTAAATCATAGAGGGGTTTATACTTATTCAGAACTACTAGGTTTATAGCATTTAAACACCTTACTCAAGTTCTTAAACTAACAAAATAAAGTAATTCACTTTTCTGAATTACTCAAGGTTTATAAAGTTCTTACGCTAGGTTTATAGCATTCAAACACCTTATACTCAGGTTCTCAAACACCTTATTCAGAACTATTAGAGTTTGGACTAATCTGTTAATTCCTTTTTTTTACAGTAATCTGTTTGTTCTTAAACACTTCAATTTCTACAATAAAACTATATGCAATTCTATGAAAATAAAGTAAAACCAAAATGCCATCTCTTATAAGACATATCATGCTCTGCTTTGAATGCCTAGTGCAACAAACAACAAAGTCAGAAAACATGAACTAGCAAAAAACTACAAGAGCACTTTCATAAACTTTTTTCAGCAACATAAACTTTTCTGAATTACACTTTGATGTTTTTATTAAGTCAAAACAGCGCATGATGAACTTTAAAATCAGTTACGCTTACTATTTTTTCAGCAATTTCCTTCACTTCATCATCATAGCCTCCATCCTTTTTTTTCCTACCCAATAACCATGTATCAGCTCGGTCTATCTGTTTCACATCAGGTCCAAGTTCTTTTTCCTATCAAATAGAGAAGATTAGAACATTGCAAATTATGAGGTGTAAAGTCAAGAAACAAATTAAAAAATCACCAAAAGGTAAGAATTTACCAGTCTCTCAAGTAATCCTGCATAACCTGTCGATCCAAGTCGATGGTTATATTTGTTCTTCTTGCGCATCTTCTTCCCCTTTTCACTCTTTGCCTTGAATTCTGCCTTGAAGGACTTGATCACAAACTCCCTCCACTCGTCTGTAGGTATATGCTTATACTCTGCCGGAGGCAATCGTAACATCTTGAGATCATTCTGATGTTGGAAGATGAAATCATTACGTAGACTCCACCTAAAGTTTCGCAAACACACTCCCATTGTACTCATCACTTGCTTCCTAGACCTAGGGGTCAATGCAAATAATTTCTGCAAATACAAAGTGTTAGTTAATTTTAATATGCTCCCTGGTTAGAAGCCTCGGCCCAATCCAATAGTCCACAACAACTTAGCTTTATTCATACCAGAATATGGTTCCACATGTTTTCTTTCACATCTTCCGGTACTTTGCGCCAGTCATCATACAGAATGCACATAGTATCCCTGGTTAAAACACCAATGTAATTGGCTAGCTCGGTCCATCCATCACCCGAATGTACTCCAAATTTGTTAACTTTCACCACCACTTTTGCATCAGTAGTCTTTTTAAGTAGCAGTTTCTTCTTCGTTTTTTGTCGCCTACGTGGTCTGGCAACATACTCATCATCAGTCTCAAGGTTTGCTTCAAACTCTTCCACATCCATATCTTGTTTGCTCTTTGACATACCTGGAATTATTAAAAAATAGAAAAACAAATTTAGGGTTAGTCTTAATATAACGAATATTTAATGTTCAGTTATTGCTAAACAGAAATTGTTATATAAACGAAATGCTAAATTACAGTAAACAATTCCAACCATTTTAATGATTAAAATTGACAAGAGCAGCAAACTACCAAAAAGCCAAGTTAAAAAATACCAGAGGCAAGAAAACAAAGCTTTCAGGCAAAAAAAATAAATTTTCACAATCAAGCTTTTACACAAAAAATTGAATACTTCATATTCAAACAGTAAATTAACATAGTACTAATAATAAATATTCAGAAACAGTCCGTAAAACAGCACATGAATACTTCAATACGAAAGGAGACCGATGATTGAATTGAGTGGAAAATATGTGTGGAGTTTACCTTCAAGCTTCGTCGTTGAAGGAGATTTCAGAGAGATGGCAGATCTTCGTTGTTGAAGGAGAGTCCAGAGAGAGGGCGCAAAGCTTCGTTGTTGAAGGAGAGTCTGGGCTAAACAGTCGGTGTCATCAGTCGATTGAAATCTGGCGGACAGGTAGCGGACCTGAGGAGGTTGTCGGCGGAAGCTGATCGACTGCTGGCGGCTTGTATCTGGAATGAGATGAACAGATCTGATCGATGGAATTAGGGTTTATGTGAATGAGGCTGCAGATATGTGAGAGTGAATGAGTGAGAAAGATAAGTGATATAAGGTGTAAATGAGTGGGGGCATATTTTTGGGTGGAGGCATATGCATCGATCAAGAATTTTTTTTGGGTGGAGGCATATGTTTTGGGGGGAAATGAAAATTGTGGAGGGAATTTATTAGGTTTAGGAGGGAAATAGATGTAAAAAAAATGAAAAAAAATTGTTAAATTTATATTTAGTGTCACAAGTATTTATTGATGTTGTAGTATCACATATTAATGACACTTATATGTTAGTAACTAGTTAAGTCGTCTATTAGTGACACTTTAAAAAAAAGTGTCACAAAAAAAGTGTCACTGTAAAGCAGTTTTCTACTAGTGGTACAATATAAGGAGTACTAGCTTTGTGTGATGCACAGGCAATATGTAATTTAGTTAATTTAAAATTTGATTTCTTTCGGATCATATGTAATGTGATTTAAAAGAAAAATAAACTTAATCTAATATAGAGCATGTTTGATAATACTAAAATAAATCGAATTAACTTATTTTACTGAAATGGAGTAAATTCTGGCTGAATGGGTGCAATCTCCTTAATCATGAAAAAAATATGTAAAATATGTTCCATTTGTGAAGCCAAGAAAAGATTATATGAAAAATAGTTAAATTGATCTTCTACATAAGCATCTCAAGTTAATATAATTGTTTTTTTAATATAAGAGAGCGGCTTTTATATTAATATCAAGAAAATATACAAAATCGTGTCCACACAGTTCTGCCAGAGCCAATCGTTAGCCCTAGGAATAGACATAGAATCATCCACCTCATACAAAGCAACCTGATTCGCTAGACACAAATCGGGCAAATTTAAGCCTAAAACAATCGGGACTGAAACGTTGCCTATCTAATGTACTTCAGAAGTCCAAATATCTAAACCAAACATACTCGAAGTAAAATAAAAATAAGTAGTATCTAAGAAAAAATAAAATTGAAATAGAACTTTTCCGCAACATTCTTCTTGGCACGGAGGTGGTTCTGGAGGGGAACGAGCTCTACCAATATCTTCTATGCAGTCCAAACAAAATCAATCAGAAATCCCTGACCAGACAAAGATGACCAGAACACCAAAACAACTTCCCACATTGAGGGAGACAAAACAACCCGGAGCGTCAATGCCCGGGAAATATCTACCACAACACAGAACAAGCACAACCAGAAAAGAGGAACAATCTTGTTGGGTCATACCCTAATCAAGAATCTTCATTACCTAGAAGAACAAAGCATAGAACCTGCTAAGCTAGCACCCCCTTCGTCGATCAAAGCACCGACAAGAACTACTTCATATATAGCACCGAACCCTTTCATACAAAACAAAAAGAAGTGGGTGAACTCTTCCAGGCCAGGTTATACGGATAAAGATGAGATGGAGTTTAGATGATGCTGCCACCAAAGCACACTTATGTTCCTCTCCTCTTCTACGTTGAGTAGCAGGAAGATCGAGAATATGCAAAAATATACTATCGTAATTGTTATGAATTTATCTCACGTCCTCTAAATTGCTTTATTATGCACCTCAAGTTTTTTCTTCTACTATTCTTCATTCAACATGATGTGAAATACTGAGTACATACTTTTAACTTTTAATAATAAGATGTTACATTTTACTCATTATTTCGTAACACCGTAAATGTAAAAAAGATGAAGTTTTTTAAACATTTTACTCATTATTTCGTTACATTGAAAACAAATTTTAATTGTTATGAACATATAAATTACTTTATTGAGCATTTCAAAATAATACTTTTCTAGTATTTCTCATTCAACTTGGTATGAAATACACATCTTAAAATTTTAATTGTGAGATCTTACATTTTACTCATTAATAAGGACATTGTTTATTGAATTAAAATTTTGGGTTTGATTTGGTATGAATTAATACGGTCTGGTAGATGTTTGTTTTACATTTTATGTGACTTATTATTATTATTATTAAAGTTTGATCTAATCTGATTTAATCTGAAACTGAATTCAATCCAATTAAAAAAAATCTACTAAAATAAATGTAGGAATTTGTAAACATATAATGATTTTTTAATTTGGATTAAGAATCTCTTTCAAACGTGAAGGCGCATTTAAATCGTAGTTGTAAAATACAGAAATAACTAAACATATTTACTTTTTAGGCTAGGCCTAAACTTATTTACTTGTGAAAATATACATACATGCAATGTTTGTATTTATGTATAATATCAATTTTCATCCTTATTAAATAAGGTAAGCTACTTAATCTGAAGTATTTTTTTTATGATTCTATATTAGAATATCTATTAGTTTTAATTTCGTTTTTTAATTTCAATTATATGGTGGCTATAATTTTATCATTATTTTAATACATACGGAGTAATTAAGAAAGAATTGTATGAAGATGGAGCAAAATGCTAAGTATTAACACAATTGCAAATCTGGGGCTTACAATTTTAATCATTATCTCTTTCGAAAAAAGAATTTTATTCATCATCTCAACATTGAGTTTAGAAAAATAAAATATTACAATTTAGGAAATGGGGCACTATTATTACATTTTTTATTTTTATCAAATTACTTTGAAGACAAAATTAATAGCAATTTGGCTGATTTAATTGTTAAGTGGGTAAAAAACGAATACTTCATCTCTTTAATAGAATGTAATAAAAAATAAACAAGTATAAAAATAATTAAATGATTGTCACTCCATGAGTCTGTGCTTAAAATTTGGTTATTAATTGTTGTGTTTCCAATTACAGAATTTAATACTTACCAAATACGTAATGGGTTTTGAAAAAGTTACCAAATTAATTAAGGTGGATTTCTACAGATTTTTGTTTCCATACCAATATGCAATCAAAAATAGACTCTAGCTAATAAAAATAGAAGGTGTAAAAATAACTAAATTAATTAATATATATAATGACATGGCAGGATTATGTGGCGCTTTGTATGCTCTTAAAAAGTTCCTCTTATATATATATATATATATATATATATATATATATATATATATATATATTTGGATACAATAGAGTAATATATTTGGATACAAATATTATGTGAATGACAATGATAATACTCAGTACCCATTAAATGTGTCCAGACTTGACTTGCATGTGGAATATAAATAAAGTGAAAATTTCTTTCTATGTGATTTTTACAAACTAGTTGAGAAAATAATTTACCTACACATTTATTAGTTTAAATGGAAATGACAATTTTGGTTGGGGCAGTTGCAAAAGTAAAGTTAGCACAATTTAACGAGTTGAGGGAGTCATTGTTTTTTATAATTAGCTACAGCGTTAAGTACAAAAATTCATTCATTTAGTTCTACTATAACTATTCATTAGTAAATAAGTAACTATTTTAAAAATCCGTTGAAATCATAATTTTGAATAATGTTTCCTAATTTTGAAAAGAATTTTAGCATTTCCAATTTTGTTTATGGGTCAAATTGGTTCAATGATATTGAATTATACAATCTTACGATTCACCTCGCGATTTTAACAACATTGATGTAGTTCTTATAAAACATATAGTGATTTTAACAATCTTGATATGTAGCTTTTATAAAACATATATTGAGATGAATGAAGAGATATTATGGAGTATAAAATAAATATTTTCAGTTTTTAGATTGAATATATTTAGAAACTTTAAAACACAACAAGATAGCAAAAAGTAATGCTATGTGTTGAACAATCATCATAGTTATAACTAAATAATATTATGTATGAGATTGTAATATGAGAACAACTAGTATTTTTACCAGTGTCGTGCATGGGATGAAAGCGTATTCAAATTCTCCGGCATAGGTATACATATCTTACTTTAATTTTGAAATATTAATTTATATAGTTAAATGAACTCATTGCATAAATTCACTAAAAAATCATATTCATGACTTTGAAATGATTTTAAAATTTTCTTTATTCAATTAGATCAGAATTTCCGAATTAGACTTTGAGATTAATTGTATCATTTTTATAGTCTCTTTTTGTATTTTAGTACCAAATCATGTGTCATGATCTCAATTTTGGTGACCACAAAAACTTACTCATGAATAATTTTAAAATATAAATGATTAACTCCATAATCAGCTAATTTAGTTATATATCATTTCTCACTTCTTGTATAGTGATTAAATCCATAATAAGCTAATTAACTGCAAAATTTATCAATGAATACTTTCAGGAGTTTTGTTGAATTCTAATCTAATGTGGGATTCTAAATTTTAAGGATGATTCCAATAAAGATGTTTTTAATTGAACTAAATTGAAAAACAATTAAAACAATTCAGGTTGAAGTTACTTTTCTGACTTAATTGACTGAAATTCCCGTAGAGAATCATTTTAGCTATTTTCATGTATCTTTTAAAAAAAAAAATATTAACAAAATTTGCGTTAAATATAACTTTCAATAATACAACATATTCAGTAATGCAGCCACTTCCGCCAGAATTTCATCATTTGCGTAAGATTTAGTCGTTTCAGTTAATATTAGAGTTACCAAACGGGGAGGACCGAAAATGGAAAGATCTCTTTAGACAGTTTAGAGTTACCTTGGAAGTATAATACTACATGGCTTTTTATTTCTCATGTTGGGGTGCCCTTGGATTTAGAGGAATAAACTTCAACAACTCATATATGTATTACAAAGAATGCTCAAAATATTATTTCTCACTTTTCAGAAGATAAAAAACATAATAGTTTCAGATAACTCTATAAAGAATCCAGAAATGTTTAAATTTAGAAAATTTATATTCCATTAAAAACTTCTTTATTGCTCTTATTAGTATTGTTTCAGGGCATTAGGACGTGTAGAATGTATCATGAGATTTATTCTAATCTAATATGGAGTTATGAATTTTAGAGAGGGCTCCTTTATAGATGTTTTTATTAGACTGAAATTTTATGATATGATCTTATTTGACTTGATATGACCTAGTTTGATCTAGTCTGATCCGTTATAGTTTGTTCTTGTCCGAACTGGTCTGATATGGTAAATATTAGGTCTATGAACATTGGAAGAGTTTTACATAAATAATGTATAGAAC